ATATCTAGCTGTGATGCTCTTGTGGGCTGACCCACATCCATCTTTAGGCCCCCACTGGTTATGTCGCAAGCCAAACATGACGTCACCACAGCCCTGTCACCATTTACACCAGCACTGAGGGGGCACCAGATTCACTGCAGTATTCTCCTGAACGACAGGTGCTGCCACACAGACAAAGCCTATACGACAGCATTGGTATGGGAGTAAAAGACGACGAAAGGGGAACACTTTCTCCAGAAAGTCTCAACTTTCCAAATCTCTGAGCTCCTGCACTGATATATCACTGAAATGCTGATAAAACCCATGACCATCGAAAATGTGTGTCTTCAATCTGGCTGCCCCCAACTACACAAGGGTTAGAAAAACCTAAGAAGTCCACGGCTAACTGAAACGACACCAAAGCGCAGCTCGCCTATGCGGATATGACGTCATTTATGGTGCGCGCCACCATTGACAAGGGCGACAACGGCGGGTCTAATAGGCCCTTTACACAGTGTATTCTATGCTTTACCATACCGAAGGACAAAGCATTCAGATTTATCCCCTTTTTACTGCAAGTAAGATTTTTTTCTGGCAGTACGAGTTTCTTTCATCACTCTTTCAATAGAAACACCAAAAAGAATAACAGTTGGTAAGATAATTGTGGAATGTCCATGAATTTAAATGTTTCGAAACTTGTTCTGAAATAATTACGTTCTACTAAATGGATTCATATTCATTTCTAACCCTGAACTTAAATAAATAGAGTTCACATACAATGACACTGAGAGTGAAAAGGGGCGACTGGTATGCAACTCCTGTTTCAGTGGCATAGACTACAGAACAAGGGGTTTGGCACACCATTGGGCATTCTTTTCTCATCGCCATGTTGCTGTTATATATCTTTACTCTCTTTACTGAGACTGGTAACTGGTGTTCCAAAACAACAATAAAAGCAAAGAAATAAAAGCGGTCAACATATAAGAAAACTTAATGTGTGACTTTTTATTCCCTTTTTACTTTTAATAAAATGTGTCTGTTTTCTTTGGGCAAAGCTTGATATGGGTGATGGGAAAAATGGGTCATTTATTCCTTTAGGATTTCAATTTTCTTTTTTTTCTCCTGTGACCTTCAAACTGAGACACATGCGCTGGGACATTCAGTAATACAGAAAGAGCTATGAAATGCAAGAATGGGGAATAACAACTGGTTCCTGTTAAGAACTGCTTCCAAATAACCCCATTAGCTCCATTGGAATTAAATGCTTCCAAGCCAATCATTTTTCATTAATTAGTGCTGCCATGTATTCCTTACAGTTGCCCGTTACAAAGAAAAACAAAAAACAAAACAATAACAAAGAGTGGAGTTTTTGCTCACCTCAGTCAAATCCAAGCCATATTTTCTACTCTGTCTCTGCACTGAAAAGATAATAAATCAGTTACACTGATGCTAAAAACATGTGTAGGACTACTTTTTTCCCTGTAAAGATTGAATCTGGAATCAATAAGGGCAATCAATTAAAAAAAAGATTATAACACAGGTTTCAATGAATATCTTTCCCTTTGCAAACAGCTTTCTTGTAATTTTTTTGTAATTGTAATTTACAAGCATCTAATCTTTTAAGCTGATAAATAAATTATAAAAAGAAAATGAAAAATATATGGTTAAAAAAAAAAACATCTTCAGGTAACAATTTCTATTCAATTTGTTCGATATATATATATATGACTTGTTTGTTTTTTTCTGCTTTTACTGTCCTGTATTACCACAACAAACGTTAAGGAACTGTGTATGAACTACAAAAAACACACCATCTAGACAATGACTGACAATTAATAAATAAACAGATGAAAGGATGTGAAAAAAGCACAGAACTTATGAGTTGCATAAGACACTTTAGTGCTTAAATTAAAAAAAAAACAAAAACAAAAAAAAAAAAAACCTCTTTATATGAACAATAACATGGCGGTGGATGGGTTGAGGTAGAAGTCAAAATGTTTTAAAAGTAGCGTGCCAGACTATATTCATAAACATAACACAACTTGGTAACCATTCTACATTTTCTGCTGTCTAATACCTGATCTCTGACTTGTGCAGAGCGTCCATAGAGAAATTCGTCTAGGATTAGTAGGCCTGAAGGGGCTGCTGGCCAAGAATAATCCAAATCAGAGAAATGAGCCCTCCAAAGTGACGCCACACCTGACAAAAAGAAAGACAAAGCAATGAACTAAGTCTCTCTGTATCCACAACAGCTAATCACTCAGGAACTTGTACACTTTTGACACCATTAAAATCTCAGTAAAGTTCCTGCTAATGACACAATAACTGCAGTATTTCACAGTTTGTCTCTGTTGTCCAACACACATTGTATATTCAGCACACAACGTCAGAAAGCACATTGTGTCACATGCATTAAAGCGTTGCACAGTAACGACTTCTGCAGACCCGCCTTCCTTTCTGTTATCTATCGATGCAATGTGGCCGTACCTCGTCTTACTCCCATTAGACATGGACCCCCTCCCCCCAATTTAAGTACATTTGGCTGTAAATTTCCACTGTTGTTGCTTCAGCTGATCAACATATAGGAAGTTACGTTCGCCAATTGTTTATTAACAGCAAGTTTCATGGTCGAAGATAAATGGAAAAACATGGATGGATGCAGGGCGGGCATTAGAAGATGCAGCTGATTATTAGACACGGCAAAGACAAGCATGCGGACTACATAAAACAAAATGCTGTTTGCAGAACAACGATTTATGTGAATGACCACATCGACACTGTAATGGGACAAACAAATCGTGACTGAATGCAAACTGAGTAACTACACTTAAGCATGGCCTGTGCAGTGAGTGTATGCAGCCAAAACATGGCCTTTAAAAAGACAGCCACTTCTAGAACTAGCTAAATTATTGTTCTAAAGCAAATAATTTAGTCTGCTATTTTTTAAGGATTGCTTACACTAACACTGAGAAGGCAGAAAACACGTCATACCTTAGTTATTAGACCGTGATGATAATTTGCTAAAAAATATAATAGCTGAGCTAGCTTGGGTAGGTTAGCAGAGATTTCATGGGCCGTCTTTAAAGACAGCAGGAGCATATTCCTTGTGTATAACGTAGGCTATTACTGTCGACTAGCAAACAGTTGTGTACTTTGACATGCTAGAAGTAAGGCTTTTAGTGTGTTTTCGGGTGCCTGTCAGGGGGTTGAACAATCACATTTGCTTCTGTAAAGGGCTAGCATCAGCAGCTAACACTAGCTGTGTTAGCTTTGCCTCGCTCTGTAGGCTAACGTGGCTGTCGTAAACTTGTTATACTTTGAGCTTTACCTGGTGTGTTCACTCAGAATAATGGGGTTTTTTTCGACAGTGTGAGCACCTTACCTTTGTAGTTTTTTGACACGGAAGAAAATATATGACGTTCACTTCTATTTTAGGATACAATGGACCCCTATAGTGGAGTCTGTGACCCGGCTTTGCTAGCATGATAGCTAATGTTTTGTTTTGTAGTAAGGTGGTTTCACCAGAAATAAGGACCCGCTAAACAACCGGGACATGCTCACGAGGTACTCACTTTACGAAGTGTTTAAGGTCACAGGGATCCCCCATCTTCGAAATCACCGGTGATCGGCTTTCTAAAACATCAGGCAGCAACGTATACCGACGTTAAATCCATACGGAGCTGTCGGAAATGGTCGTCGGCTCACTGGCTCCGCTACTGCTGCGCCCTAGCTTCAGCATGGGTGAATGGTGGTACGACCGAGCCAGAATGCGCTCACATAGTTAGCGAAGAGTTGTGGGAGAGCTCTAAAACACAAATGATAGCGAATGCAGCGCCTCGGGAAGTGTTTAAAATGACAAGACTAATAGTCGGATCCCCCAACGAAGTGTTTTGAGCATGTGTTTTAGCCACTTTTTATTTGTATCAGCCACTAATCGAGTGCCTCTGTTTCTGAGGCTTCTCTGTTCAGCATCACATGATATGGGTGCACAGCTGGCGCGAACCCCGGAGCGCACTGCGGCTCCTACGAGTCAAACAACCAGTTAAAATTTCAAAAAGGCAGGCCTTGTTAGAGAGCATCACACAGTGGTTAAAATCTCAATAACAGAGACCTTGGTCCTTTGATAAACATTATATTTCATGCTTCATTTATTTGATGTTGTTTATCATAGTCTATTATTTGATTGATTACTTTTTGTGCTGCCTATTCAGTTTTTTTTTGTCATCCACTGGAACAATTTGAACTGCACTAATGTGATGATGGAAAGAGAAATACTTTTGTTATCCCATACTTTCTTTTAATTCTTTTGGTACAGCAGTTGCAATGAATAATGATATTACTGATGATGATAATATGCAGGAGATGATTCTGTGCCTGACAGATACTTTAAATTATTGAGGTTGATCGCAAGTGATATGAAAGATTTCCTTTATCTGTCCTTGTGCCATCAGAGCTGAATCAGCCTGTTAGAGAAAGTGATCTGCGGTCTATGGAAGCCCGTTTCCGCCACAAAAAAAAGTATCCATAACTCGAAGTTTTGGTAACTCAAAGTTTTGCGTTATCTTTCTTGAAATTTCAAGCTACTCTCTTGAAATTTCGACTTATTAACTCGAAATTTTGAGCTAAGTAGCTCAAAATTTCGAGAAAATAAGTGGAAATTTTGAGAAAATAACTCAAAGATTTGAGAAAGATAACTCGAAATTTCAAGTTATGGATACTTATTTTTCTTCCTTTTTTTAGTGGTGGAAATGGGCTTCCATAAAAAATTGCAGAGCGGTTTGCTGGTATCAGCTCCAATGCTGACACCACACACACAGACAATATAAAACTGTATATTGTGGGGGAAAAAACTCTAGATGAATGTAACTTTGGAGAAGATTGTAAATGTGTTAAGGATACAGGCTAGTTAATTAGCAAGTCAACTAATGGTTAGGCTCTGCTAGAACTTTGCCTGAGCATTCTCACGCCGGTACAGTAGACGGCAACATGCACCTTTGACTTCGGTTTGGACCGCGCCGCCTGAGGAAGAAGAAAAAAAAGGCGCCGAAGAAGGCCACTTTCGCGTTTCAGACCACACTCCATACCAGTTGGTGGCGGTAATGCACCATTCAGTTGTTTGTCAACTGGCAATAAAAATTTAAAAGGAGGAAGAAGAAGGCCATTTTCCCCTGAAACAGTGCCGTGAGAGCGACGTACCCGAGCTTTATCGTTCTCATTATCTCCACTACTCTCGATATTTTAACGAGAGTCTTTGGTTGCCTTTTGTGTAAGTTCTGACGTTGGTTATGTGACAGTATGGTGGTAATATTAAAAAAAGAAAACGTCGTCATTGCTGCTGGCCGGGTTCGGGCGATAAACGAGCTAACGCTAAAGCTACAGGCCTAGCTGGGTACAAAGACGAGTGCAGCTCAGCTCGACATTTTGTTCTTGGTTTCAGCGGCAGAGGCGTTTGAAGTGCCAGAAACAACCTGGGGAACAATCCACGTTAGCTAATCTCAGCTGGCATACAAGGTTACGATGTGTGCAGGTTGCGTGTATTTTACGTGTATATTTTGTCAACGATGCGGCTAACGGGGGCATGTCCGATTCAGTATTGGCGACGTGGTTGTTATGTACGTGGAACACTGAGCTTTTGATTAGTGGCACGTTGGAGACACATTTAAGTCATTTAGCAAGTTATTGTACATGTTGGGGGTTTCTCTCTACGTGGATGGCCAACCTGGAACAGTTAAGGCTCTGTCGTTGGTCGTGCCCCCCTCCCGTGATGCATGGGTGGTGATTTCTGGTTGACAGCAACTGTCAGTTTGCAAAGATTCTGAGATCTCCCTGCCGTGCATGAAGGCGACTCATCAAGATACCATGTTAGTTCGTTTTCTCATTGATATTGGTGGTAAAAGGTCCTGTAATTTTCACTTTGGGTTAA